GAATCACGAATGAACATGATGCCATTGTCTTTGGTAACTAATCATGCCTGTGACTTGCCCTTTAAATGAAAAGTTACAAAAGGCCAATGACACTGTCATCTAGTCAGAGAGGCTGAAATGATGACAAGAAGCTCTTGTAGCCGAAATCATTCAAATATAAGGAGCCCAAAGGCTGTGAGAACCCACTCTAATCAGCAAGTCTGACAATTACTTACCCCCTCTCACCTGCTGCCTTTGGCAGAGCCATCATCACAAAGAGACTGCTAATAACCACTGACTCACTTTTCAGTAAACAGACACTGTGATCAGCAGGGAATCTAGGCAACCAAAATGAGGGATCTTTTCTCGTAAAGCTTTGAAATTAGGAGGAGGCCCTCAAAGTAACAATAACAAACAGATAACTCCACAAATAAACAGCAGGTCTCTTCGGAGGTGCGTGAAATTGAGAGCTAATAGGTCGCTGTCAATCAAGCCGAATAGAAATGTATGCAGCACAAAGTGGTGATGTGTATTAAACCCTGAGTGCATAAATCATGTTGTACATGATTTCTGAAAATCAGATGCATTGAACACTCTTGACATTTACCGGAATTTTTGCCAGATGGATGCTAAATTGAGTTATCATAGGAAAATGCAAAAAGATGACTGTCTTCAGGCAGGTAGTTAATAGAAGCTCAACAGGTTAAAAATTAGCTTCGCTACATGCATTTTATTCTCAGGCAAGGTACGTAAAGAAGAAAAATAGCCCTTATAACCCTGCCTACATGGCAGGTTGCCAAGGAGACTGTAACGCAAGAGAACATGGTGACAATATACAGTAGAAATCAATCAGCATACAATTCACATATTTTTCACTATGAAGTGGGCTGACAAGATCTAGATCTCACTGTAAATGACCCATCCAAAAGCATTACCTCAGACCTGGATAAATATTTTACAAGTGTGAACAAGCAGAATTACACTGGGCCTCAACAGATGAATTGCAGCAATCAGTATTACATTTCCCTTTATGCTTGTGTTACACTTTCCCACACGGTAAGGTAAATTGGCTCTAGAGACTGCAATCCATTAGTGTGTTGCACCAATGATGCTGCAATTGCCTCGTTGCCCAGTTTGTGTGATGATGAAAGGCAAAACAGACACTTTATCAAATTACATGCATATTTGGTTTTGAAAAAGTCAAACGATGAGGAGGCAGAGAGAAATATTTAAGTAACAATTGGGTAAACTACATTAATAACATTTTGAAACCCTCAGTGCGTCAAAGTCTTGAAGGGGCAAGATTATGCGAGATATTTTCTTTTCTAAGCCACAGGGGTGAAGTATATTTTTGTCATCAAATATAAAAGGCAGAAACTATGATTCAACTGTAAAAATTAACACTGCTTGAATATTACTTGCTATTTAATGTGTGGTAACTGTAGACAAACAACGATGATCAAGAAAGGTGAAAAGATAAATAAAACTAGGTTCATGTGTTTTGTCTCTTTAAAATGCACAACTGCAAATGATGCTCCAAGAGCACATAAAATATCTGATGCTTTAAGACAAAACCCCTCATTCTGTCCTATCTACTGTGAAGGGGAAAAGGTATATTTGCCTTTATAATGTGCACTTCTTTCCATCAAATGGATCAAGAACTGATGGTAGATCAAGACAGCGAGAGTCATTTTAGTTTAGCTTAAACTACAGATGGAAATGAATTTGTTCCATATAGGAGATTTTGATCTTGCAGACTCAACACAATGAAAAAAAAAACGTATTCAGAGAGGTCACCGATAGAGACTACATGCACGTTTCAAATAGCATGTCTGGCATTATCCTCCAATGAAATGGACAAAAATAACATTTTATTCTTTCTTAATTCACTTGGAGTGCAAGCATGTGATGTTTTGTCTTGCAAATGTTTGGCTTTGGCTGCTTGATCTTAGTGCTATCCTGGAAATGACTGTAATAATTCAGCATATTATGTTCTTCTTGACCTTGGGTCAGGTACTCTGATGAATATATATGACGCTGTGAGACATAATGAAATGGTTGGATGTAAGCAAAAGGCAGAAAAATGCAGATGGAAGATAAGTGTGTCTAACTTCACCTAATCTTACCCTGTGAAGATACCAGGAACAGATGGCACATAACTATTCATAAACTGCAACTCTACCCAAAGAAATTATATAACTACAGAGCCTCCACCTAGAAAAGCATCCCCATCCCAAAAAGACAACTTAGACAACATTGCATCTGAAATAAAAAAACTAAAAAATTTATAAATGTGCTTTAACAAAAATACACTGCTTTCAAACCCTCAGACTATCTTGCCTCTTAGGCTTTTATTGTAAGTGCATTACTATAAATGCATTACCTGTTCTATTTGACAAACTGAGGGATGAGCTGAAATTCTCTTCTCTGCTAATAAACCACAGGCCACAGATTTTTTTCAAGCTTAACTTGAATTTAATCCAGAATGTTTTTAGTCACGTTGAGCTTATAAATAAGGTCTTTATGAAGTTTAAAAAGTATCATTTTTTCCCTTCAAAATGTACTTTAGCTAAATTGAAAGAAAATGCTTCCCAAAAATAATATTTAAAGGAATAGATCACTCACCCAAAATTTTAAAATCATTTACTTTAAACCTGCATTACTTTATTTCTACTGTCAAACACATGCAAAAAAATTAAAATAAATAAAAGCAAAACTGTATGGACAAAAATAATTTGGAACATTCTTCTTTTGTATTTTATGCAGGCTTGGGATGACATGAGGGTGAGTAAATGATGACAGAAATCTATTTTTTTGGTGAAATATCCTTTAAGGGTATAGTTATTGTTGTAATTGTTACCCATGAAGAAAATGAGCTAGAATATGGAGGGATAGAGACACAACAGAAAGGAAAAGAGCTTGAAAATGTGTGATGAAAGTCATGGCTGTGTAACTCAAGGACACAGTGATCCTGGCTGTCCCTCTCCTCTCTGAATGCGGCACAGGAGAGACTTTGGCTATGTGTGTGCCTGTCCTGTCAGTGAACCCATTACTGGCATCTCAAACTTTAAACACTGAAAGCCTGTCTACTTTTGTTTCTGAACTGATGAAGATTGTGTGAATCTGAAAAGGTAAGAGTAACATCTGAACAGAAGGGATACCAGTGAGATTACAGAAATTTAAGAGGTGTAAAAGCACAGTAAGTCATCCTGTATGTGGAGGGTCACATGTACAAAACGATGTGTCGTGTCTAGTTGGCCAACATAAAATATGCGTGTGGCTTTTATTTCACTGGCTTTCATTTTTTTTTATCCATTTGTCAGGACACTAAATTATCCTTCAACAGAGCTATTATTGTCTGAATTGTGTGGTAAGCTCATTATTCACAATTTGCTATTGTGACATGTCTGAAATTGGTTACTCTGCTGTGCTTAATTCTATTTTTCATTTGCCCAATAGGTGGCTCCTTGTCTCTGTGCCAAAAGTGATAAGAAGTGGCTAAGACTTGGCAGACTTGTAGTACAAATCTGTGCCAAACTCTGTCATGGTGCCATTCAGAAGATTACAGTGTTGTTCATTAACCTTCAAGTGAAGTAGAAGAAACATAAACAGAACAGAACAGAGCAAAATGCTATGTTTATGAACAATGCCACACACACCATAATGTATATAGATAAATATAGCTGCAAAGTAAATATTTAAATTAAGTCATTGCCTTTTTTTCAACACAAACATGCTTCCTTTGTGTGTAAATGGGTTTTTTGGAATTAGATTGCAGTGGTGGAGTTACTGTATGCTGCTCCGCATTCTAGCTCTCAAAATCAGGCCTACAAGATGAGAAATGCAGATTTTCTGGGCATGTTAGCACTGTAACCTGATATTTTACAATTCCTTTAGAGCGGTAGAAGCATAAAGAAATGCAAGCTTATGGAATGGAAGATTAAAGAAAAAAATTAAATTGGGAAATATATATATAAGAAATAAAAAAAATCCTTAGTATAACAGATCAGGAAAATGTGTCTTTCTGATCTGTTATACTGAGGACATTTTTTTATTTTTATTATATAATATATATTTTTATTTTTCCCAATTTTATTTTCTATATCTTATAATATGCAGAAATATGAGTTTATATGATAAAAATAGATCAATGTGCTGTACTAATACTTTTTCTGGATATGAAACATGAATGTTAGCCTGTGATGTGGGCATATGAGTGTGGATGTACAGTATACACGTTGGTTTTTGTTCAGTAGAAGGGTGTGTACTTTGCATTCTCAGCTGGTAGGATTCACCAATTACCATGTGTACACGGCAAATTCTTGAGCAGCTCATTTTATTATCCTTCAAATAAAACGGTGCTGATAGATCTGTACGAGAAGGTCAACAAACAGAACCCCTCATAATCATGCTTCATTTGTGACTCATCAAGTGGGCTTACTCAATGCACCCAACACGCAATCATTACCTATACATGCTCACACACACTCACACACACACACACACACACACACACACACACACACAATGTATGCATGCAAGAGCACACACTCACTACCTTATTCAATAATATGGTATACATCATTCAGAAAAGAGACATTCAGGTTTGGTAGAAGCGTGTGAATATACGGCCATTAGCTGAGTGGGTGGGAAAATCTAGAAATCTGTTCCTGTCAGGAAAATATGAAAATGTTATGACATTTTAGTAATGACAAGGTTTCTATGACAACAGTGTCTGTAAGACTGCAAACTGCAAAGCCTTGTTGTTATTGGCAAATGAATGCATAAATGCATTATGGTCCACAGAGGTTAAGCATTCATCTAGGTTAGAAGCTGAAAGTTATATAGCCATTTCTCTCTGTTCACATCCGTGACCCTGTACACTGGAAACAATTTCAAAAGGACTTTATAATACATAGACTGTACATGGGGTATTTTCTATTAATTTCAGACACAGCAGAGTAAAAATGTATGTGTTTACATGCATCTGATTTATTAAAGCAAAATGCAAGAGCACTCACTTGGATCAGACAGGATGGAATCAGTCTTGGGCAGGAACTGGTCACAACGAATGCCCTGAAAACCCTCTTTACACCTGATTTGAGAAAAAGAAAAGAACGAAAAGAAAGACAGTTAGTAAACTTAAATAAAAATAAAAAGCTGAAAAGAAAAAACATGATAACATGAGAACATGATCGCAAATCAAATCACAAACCATAGTGACAAATGCGGACAGGGAATGGAGCTAAATCCAAATTGAACTGAAACCGTGATAACCTTACTGTAATCAAGGCAAGTTTTTTTTTTTTTACTAGAAAACAGACAACTGGAAATTATTTTTTGTGGTAATCAACACTGTCACAAGTGTTTTCGATTGAGCTTAACTTAAATTGAACCTGGAATATTCCTTTAAATCCTTTAGGTCACTCTAATTAAAACACTTTTTAGGGGCCAGGCTGGTCCCTGTGCATTTCACAACAATGAAACTCCTAGACATGGATAAGCCAATCAGAGTGAAAAATGTTCAAGGCTTTTCTGGAAATCATATGGGAAATCCACATGTGCCATGTCATGCATCTGTTGCAGATGGCAGTAGATTGATTTGGAAGTACATGGGCACAGCGAGTTTGCTGATTTTCTACCTCAGCAAAGCCCTAACTGCTTGAATAAGATCTATCTATGTTCACTAAATATGGAAATGAAATGCTTGTCTTTTATATAAGAAATATGTATGCCATGTCCCTCCAAGCCAAGCTGTTTGCTCTCTCTCCAGCCCTCTTGCTCATGTAACTGCCCATGTGTTTCTGCCTTTCTCACTCTTTCCCTCTCTCTCTCCATCCTGTCATCACTTTATCCTCATTTTTCCCTCACTTCTTGACTTTTCAAAGACACTGGAGGCTAATACCGCTTTCAGCTAGTTGAGTCAGGAGAGCAATGTGACAAAGAAAAATGTCCCTAGCTCTAAATGGCAGAGTACAAACAGAGCATATGCATATGCCATGTACACGAGCCTCAACAGATAGCATAAGCCTTTGTTGGTTATACAGCACATTTCATCCTTTTACAGAGGATCAAGAGCTCAATTTAATGCTGCATATTGCTTAGGCTGTATGTTTCCAAGTTCCCAACTGAAAAATAAATACATTTTAAAGACGGAATATTTTCTCGTTTTTTACATTATATACAACATAAATAAATATAGAGCATTTGCCTGGATCAGCAGCTTTCTCTGAGCTATTTATAGTTACCATATGATATTGCTTACTTTTCATGCCATTTTCACAACTGTAGAAAATGTGCTTTGTTCCGAAAGAAGGACTTAAATTGTAATATATTAATACAGTTAGAGCGGGAATGAAGGCTCCGTCTAGACAGCATTCTTGCAATGCACCTGTTTTGGAGAAAAGCAATGAGAAGAGCAGCTCTTTTGTTTTCAACTGAAATAAGAAATCTGCTCACCCACATTATAATATTATGAATTATAATATATCTTATTTCGTTGGTCCATTGGATCAGATTGCTTTCTTACCACAAGCAACTGCTCCAGAGTTAGTTTTCAATTGGGCTGTGACTACCTCATTCAGGCAATCTTGGGCTGATTATTTTGGTTTGAATCTGAGAGTGATTGCTGTGAACCAAGGTGTGAAAACGCCCTTAGGCAATATATTTTTGCTTCACCAACAACAGCAGTTTTAAACAAGGCCGTAGTAGACCCATTGCATCATAAACAGTAGTGGTGTTTTGTCCCAGAATGAATCAATGTTTTGAATAAATTGGTTGAATGAATGATTGAATGATTCACTAATAAAGACCACTGCTTGTATTCTTCCAGAATGATTCAGTTTTTTTGAATGAATCAGTTTAATGAATTATTTAATTTATCTAAAGACAGGCACTTGTCACCACCTACTGGCGTAAAGATAATCTGTAATCTGCACGATTCATTGCCACCACTAATGGACAGACTGACGGTCTGTCAGGAACTCGCAAACACAACAAGCAGAGTGATAAAAAGAGTGAAAGTCCCAGTCCTAGCTGATCATTCTATCAAACTACTTAGTATAATTCGCTACATTTTCCAAGCCTTGAGTTCTCTGAAGTGAATTGTTTTTAATGTAACAGCCTGTCTTTTTGTCATGTACAAATTAAGCACTGTTACAAATGTGTTGCTGTGCTCATGGAACAGACTTACTTTCTGTATCGTTCTGGATTTTTTTTCCTTATAACCAGAAGAACCACAGAAAACTGGTGAAATTTAATAATTTTGAATACATTTGAATAATTGTCTTTTCTCACTCAAACCCCAAAATCATAAGCTTACCAACAGCAACAAATATTCATTGGGCCTCATTCATGAAATGCAAGCAGAACAAATTTCTAAGTAAATTGTTCATAAAACCATTCTTGCGTAAATTGTTAATGTGCCAATTTACATAAACATGATTTTACGAATGAGTTGCACAGAAATTATAAAAGACAGTGTTTCCAATAAATAGCATTACAGTGATATAATTTTTACACCCTTGTCCAATCTGATGTTAACAATTATGACTCCTACCTCTATAGTAGAAATCTGCATACAACTAATTGAATGTAACTGTCATGTGTGCCGTTAGTAAAGATTTTACGCTAATTGCACACAAGGAGCTATAGAGGGCTGTGAGTCAGTAATCAAATCAGTGGCGCAGATGGGCGACTCTGTGCTTTACAAAGCGCATAAGGCATGCCTAAGGATCTGTGGTCAATTAATCTCTCCCCAATTAATGTGTCCACAGGCAAGTGAAACTGATAAAGATCTGTAAGATAAGAAACTAATGCAGTACAAATTTACAGAAGGAGGATCATTAAAAGAGAGATCAAGTGCTATGGCAGCATTGTGAGGAACAGTCATTATGGGCACAGTATGAGCTGTGGCAATTGGCAAACAGTGGCAATTAAAATGTGGGGAATGGAAGGAAAGAGGTGGAGGTGTGGAACTGTGCCCAAGAGACCACATTTGGGCTGCTTGCCTCCTTTTATCTTGCCCCGCACAGACATTTTGTTCACAGGCTTGATTTATGGGGAATGATGATACATGTTTAACGCAGTAGGAGGCTTCCTGTTGCTCAGCATACGGCCAAAGCGGAGGCCTTTTCTTTCATACAAAGCTTTTCTTCTCTCTTGTGCACATAGTATAGTGTTGCGGTTATTTTAACATGAAATACTGAAACACATCTCGGACGGGTGTGACAATGTCTTTTAATTGACTAGGCTATGGTCAAACCTTTCATTTCTAATGTTCTATTCTTTTTTCTTTACTCCATGAGGCCCTGTCATGTTACAGGACCCCCTGTGTGAAATCATTCATTTCTTCTGTATAATACAGGCCTATATAGTATATGTTGTCTTCTTGTCACTTTCATATTCCTCCCAACCCTATCATTTTCCTTGGAAATTTTGCAATGGAATATTCATTAGTCTCTGAGACCTGCAAAATAAAATTGTATTATTTCTCAAGGACCCAGAATGTATTGAGTGTTGCCTGGCTTTTAATTAGCACCACAGTCATTAATTAGCAGGAACAAATGGGGGAGAGGGATGGGACGCTGGAAGGAGGTGTAGATCATTCTAACTAAGAGGCAGCTTTACAGGCACAGATAAATATAAATACTAAGCCTCCAGCTGTCAGATTCTTGCAGAATGTGAGAAGAACATGCGCATTTAACTATGCACCGCTAATGATCAGGCTTCAGTGTGTTTATCACAACCAGAAAACCATGTGAACCCATTTATGGTGTTCATAATTTCATAATGGGAAATGTAACAGACAACAGTAGAGAAGCAAAATGCATAAATACCAATTAAAGCAACCTGATAGTTTATCATAAGAACCTTTAATTAAAAGGAATGAGATCTGGAGTATGTTACCAGGCTACTCACACAGGCGTTTTGAGATTTAGAACAAGTTACTGTGTTTAATCATGTTACGTGTACTCTGGCTTCTCAGCTGTTCTGTTTTTTTTAAATGTTGGAATTCATGTCTGTTAGTCTAAAGAGAAGCAAATCATAACCAAGACATTTGAGATTTGTGATTTGTTTTTAATTGCTGCATAAGCATTTACGCCACAAATCATCCACATTAAGCTGTAATTCCATGAGAGACAGGAAGCATCCAAATGAACTGACTGGGATACAGTAAATATTTAAATCAACAGTCTTTTTGCAGGTTACATCGTTACGCCAGTACGTTGCGACAAGTAACTGTCTTCATGAGTGAGTCATTTGAATCAGTTACAGATACTTTCACACTTGCTAATTCATTAAGGAATAAAACAAGCAACTGTCTTCATAAATGAGCCACTGAATTATCGATTTAACCAATTAGTTCAAAAACGATAGTTCAATCAGGAACAAAACAAGGGACAGTGTTTATGAGTATGTCGATGAATCATTATCTTAACGGATTTGTTCAAAAAACTGATTCATTACGGAACACACCACCACTAAACGTGTGGCATTTGATTCTCTTGTTGCTTTGTTTGGAACTTTTTTTGTTGGCTAAGCTAAAGACAAAATAACTCCAATTTACTGTTGCATAAAAGCAATATCATTGTCATGAATCCGGTCCATGAACTTCCGTCTGCTTACCATCAGAGGTCACCCTTTCCATTACATTGACTCTCGCACTACACAAACTGTTGCATATCATCCCGGACTACATATCCCATCATCCATTGTACTGATTGCACACAGCACTGATTGCACACAGCTGTATCTAATCACACATTCACTATATAACACTCACTCAAACAACCATTCACTGCCGAGTATTGTATGCGCTTATCGCCAGCAGTGATAGCTACTCTACAGAGCCCTCGTTAGCTTCCTAGCCTAGCCTAGCCTAGTCTTGCCTTGCCTTGTCTGTTTTCTCGGTTTCTGATCTTTGCCTGTTTTCCTGGATTTATCCCTTTAGTCTTGCCCTTTTGATTCTGTTCGCCGTTCGTTGACCTTCGCTAGCCCTAGGATTATTCTTGTGTCTTGCCCGCCATATACCTGTTCGCCATTGTTCGACCCTGCCTGTGTTTCTGACCTCTCTGCTTTAATAAAGCTTGCACA